AAATTATATCAAAGTAAATATTTTTATGTATAAAATAAAATTTTAAAATTATATATATAGATTCGGGTTGGTTTGGTCTCGAGTTGGTTTTTTTAGTTAAAACCAAACCAACTCAAATATAGTTCGGGTTTTTTTTCAAAACCAAATCAAGTCAAACCAAACCACTAGTCAGGTTTTTTTTTCCGGGTTGACTCGATTTACGGTTTGGTTCAGTTTTCGGTTCGATTTTGTACACCCTTGGTTTTTTCACCTAAAAATAAATAATAACGTGTTATTTCTAATAACTTAAACTTTTAAGATGAGACGGTGATACATTTTAACACTATGAACCACTGATCTGACTAATCAAATTGACGTCGTGGAAGCCCATTAACAGAGAAGCACTTAGTATTAGGATTATTTTTTTAATTTCAAGACACGATTTCATAACTTTTGATTAAAAATGAAGAAACATCATTGGTCCCAGTTTGCATATGAATCTTCTCTTTAAATAAGGGCGGAGATAGAAAGTTATGTCCAGCTTCAATCGAACTTAGTAACTTTAATTTCAATCCTATATATATTTATACCAAGAAATTCACAAAACATGTACAATAATTAAATCTAATGCACGATGTTCATAACTTCTTCCATATATTATTTTCTAACTCTTTCCATCTTATCAAAAGCACAAATTGTAAGAGAAGTTTAAACAGTGAGATTAATTACTAGGTCGTGTGACCTTTTAAGTTACTAGTACATATACGATGATTTTTATTTTTTTTGGTGAAAGCTATACGATGGTTTACAAGAATGATTTTAGAATGAATGATCTTGAACCTTGGACTCCGTTATCCTATGGATAAAACTTTAAGTTTAACAAGTTTTACCTCGTGTACTTTTGACTTTTTACCTTGAAGGTTTGTCCGTTGGACAAGTGATGGTCAAAAGTTGAAAGATACCCACTTTTAAGGTCATTGGGTGTAATTTTTTGTTCGAGGTGAGTAGTCTTGAACTTTTTTCCCGACCTCCTCAATCGATATCAAATTTTTAAAACTTTTTTAACCTTGAAGACTTGCCCACAGAACAAGCAAAGTAAAAAATTCAAGATCATCCATTTCCTTCCAAGATTATTAGCTAGTGAAATTTCCTGCACCTCAAGTGAGTGTCTAGATGTTGGCAATACGTGATATATAGGGCTTGCTTGCTAATACTTGGCAATTAAGTATTATTTTGAATAAAGATAATTTACACAAATCTCACTTGATTACGAACTAATTAATTAGATATACACTAGTTTGTAATATTACAAATCTTATCAGATTTTGGTATGTCCAAATACATGTATCTCAGGATAAATGAGGTCAAAAGTAAGTGTAATTTGTTCTAAATACACTATCTTCAAATGGAATCGCATATATATGGGATACATAATAAATCTCGCACGCCTCTCTCCCATTTTGCTCTCCACTCTCCTATGTATCCGATATCCCACATACATGTGACTATGTGCATCACACTAAATACATACAGATACATGTATCTAGTGTGATTCGCATGTATCTGAGATACATGACTATCTCATTCGCCTTTCTCCCTATTTTAGTGTATCTGATAGTAAAAAGAGCAACTTTCACATATAGCAAACACAAAAATCTATGCTATAGCTATAGTTTGCATTAATTGTGCTCCATAGCAAACATAAATATGTATATTTCACTATACATATACAAAAGAAAGCAGTTGTATATAATCTGTTTCTGTTTCGGTATACATATACAAAAGATCAATTGTATAATATGTGTTTGTATAAAGTGAGAAAGAGAGAAAGGCAAAAGAGAAATGGGGAGGGAAATATTTGTATTGTATAATTATGAGTGTAAAGGACGAAGATATATGTATTTGCATGTGTATATACAATTTTCTCTCGTTTTATACAAACAGAAACACAATTTATACATTTTTGTTTGTATAAGCGAGAGAGGCGAGGGAGAGACTGACGAGCGAAATCCGGGAGAGTGGCGAGCGAGATTTGGGAGGGGAACGAAAATATATGTATATATACAATTTTCTCTCGCTTTATACAAACACAAACGCATTTTATACATTTGCATTTGTATAAAAAGCTAGAGAGGCGAGGGAGAGAACGAGAGTGGCGAGCGAGATTCACCAAGAGAGGCGAAATAGCAACAGTTTGTTATGGGTACAATAAATCAAACTATGTTTATAACATTTAATTTGAATTAATAGTTTGCTATTAAATACAATTTTCCCTAACTAAAATACATGTATCTAAGTTTATATTTCTCAATATATGATAGAAAACTCGTAATTAGTGCTATGATATGTAATTATTTAGAAGTATATATAGAATTAGTATATATGGTATGAATGTATGAGTAATAAGGTTGTTTTCCATGGAATAAAGTGAACAAATGACCCTACTATTTAAAACATAGTCAAAATTTATAAAGTACTTAATATTTAATCGTCTTGGAACAAATTTAAAACCTCAGAACAACTTTCAAAATCAAAGGTCTCTTTGTTAATGTAATTCAAACTTCATACTTTCGAAAGACGTTAGGCTTGACAGTACAAAACTTCAAACCTTCGAGAGGAACAAGAAGGAACGTCGATATATAAGAGAGATCTCGAGTTTGCCCCTCTATCAAACCTTTACAGGCTCGTTTGATTGAGGAATAAGTTATTCCGAGATTAATTATCTCAGAGCTAGTTATTCAACGAATGTTGCTCCACCTTCAATGTGGGATTAGTTATCCCTTATAGGCTTATACCAAACGAGTCCTATATACATTATAAAAGCTACATGTATCTAAAAGCAGCTATCCAATATTATTTCTATAATTATTTTTCCTTATGATTTTTATGAGTATTTTCCCTTAAAATGAAAGAAATGCAATTGTCTGTTAGTCATAACACATTAGGAAAATTTGGGAAAATATAATTGTAGAAGAGAGGATTTAATTTAGGGCCCTCAGGCGTGCACAAATTGCTTATGATTTTGAGTGACAAAAAATGTCTACAAAAGGCCACACACAAATCTTTTTTAATTCCCTTTTAGTTGCCCCTAATCATCTTGTCATCTCACGTGTTGCCAAATTTCATCTTCTTTGAACACCATTTTGAGTCGAGGATTTATCGAAAACATTCTACAAGGTAGGGGTGAGGTATGCATGTGTACACACTACCCTCCTTAGAATCCATCTATGAAACTATACAAAGTTTGTAAATGTTGTTTAAACGCCTCTCAACCATACATACACAACCCCACTCCAACCATCAGAGGCCGGATCAAACTTTTGAACTTTAGGAATATGAGTTCTGAATTTTATCATAACTCGTTTGATTTATTGGGTTCGAAGCCAATTTTTGTTGCACTTATTTAACGATGTTCCTAACACATATATAGGATCTGAGTCAAAGCTACTCGACTAACACTTTACATTGGCCCTACTACTCATCAAACGTATATAGAGGAATTCATACAATTGAGTCAAATTGGGGTCAAGGCATGATCATATATACAGCTCTATTTGTCTAGCTTTACATACAAAACTTAGTAGAAGTTTTTTTCTTTTTCTTCCTTGTTCAACTTGTTGCACATTTCATTGTTGATTGTATAGCTAAGACACAATGTTTTTGTCAATAATGGCCAATACAGAAATATGAAGGTTTAAATATACAAAGAAGCAATAAGATTCAGCATCTACGATATGTACATTAAAAATAAATTTGGCCTCGTCTTACATATACCTATACTTTTTTTCTCACGAATGGTGTTCAGATGAACCCCTTGCATCCCTACCTCCACCCCTGCTTAGTGAGTGATTATACAACGAGGTGTGGGTTATAATAAACATGTCATGCAAGTAAAGTGTGAACGTACGGGGAGTATGCTGCAGAAGTAGGGCAATAGTAAGTTGAGGAAAGGGTAGCCTTCCCTACTCAAAAAGAGCAGGTTTGCATTGCAAGCAAAACTCCACTTCCTCAGTCATAATCTATTTAACTTTTATGTACTCATATGCTACCAATTAAGCAAAAATGTAGTATGGTCAGGGACTATAATGAGCTAGCTATACATTTTATTTTTAAAAAAACAAAAATTTGCTTTGCTCACCAGTGAGCATAATATATATGAATAAAGATTTCCCCAACAACTTATTATTACAAAACCATGTGAGAGGAATCATGGAAGCTATCAAATATAAACACACCTAGCCAACATCTTATAATTTCTCTTCCTTGTATATATTCATCAAGCCTTTAGTCTTATAAAATGTCAATCTTCTTTTATTCTCCTAACTCTCAACATGAAAAACTTGGTCACTACTTTGTTTATTTACTTCTTAGTAATCTTGTTTCTCTGCAATAAACATAGCAAATATGTTGTGGGTTTTAGACCACAACGGCGAGGAGGCAGATCAACAAGATTCTATGATTTCAAGGTTTAATTTCTTTTATCAAACAAATGGTATTTACTTGTCACTGAAGTCTTTTTTTTTTTTTCAGGTGCAAACTACTAGGATTACTAAGTTATGTAACACTAAAGACATTCCAACCATCAATGGAATGTATCCAGGTCCAGTTGTTTATGCTCAAGAAGACGATAAAGTTATCGTCAGAGTTACCAATGAATCCCCATACAATATCACAATCCACTGGTAACTAGTACTTGAAAAAATCTACATTTTCTTAGCCTATTTTTCATCTCTTTTTTCACATTATGGCAAATTAAGCTTACCTGAGCTTCCAAGATTTCATCAGGCATGGCATCCGTCAGAGGCTATCGTGTTGGTCTGATGGCCCTTCTTACATTACACAATGCCCCATACAAACTGGACAAAACTTCACTTATGAGTTCACTTTGGTACAACAGAAGGGCACATTTTTCTGGCACGCTCATGTTTCGTGGCTTCGAGCCACTGTTTATGGTGCCATTGTTGTTTACCCTAACAATGGTGTTCCTTACCCTTTCAAGTTCCCATATGAAGAGCATATTATTATTTTAGGTACATTGATTCAACATAGTTATCTTTCTTTTTGAGAAGAATATAAGTTCTATGTGCTAAAGTGTAAAAATATAACTCTATTTAATGGATGTTGATTGATCACCTAGTGTAAATGGTAAACAACTTGCTATAACAGATAAAACTGCACCATTAGTGTAAACAATCTTTACACTACCGATGCATATAACTTGAACACTTTTCAGAATAAGAATGTTATTAAGAACTTTTTTCTCAAAAATTAATCTGAAAACAATCTTATTTCTGAAGAGTGTCTCAAAAGATTTAACTTATATACACCGACTTTCTAAAAGCTTTTGCTATTCTCAAACTTGGGAGTTTTACAGGAGAGTTTTGGATGAAGGACATGGTGCAAATTGAGCAGGCAGTTTTAGCTAGTGGCAGAGCCCCACCACCGGCTGATGCTTTTACCATCAATGGCCAACCCGGCCCTAATTATAATTGCTCTGCTGATGGTAATTTTTTACATTCATTATGCAACTTTTAAATCCAAAAAATGACAAAAGTTGCATCATTACTTGTCATATTTGTTACTCCTTCCATCTCAGTGATGCACTTTGACTTGACACGGACTTTTAGAAAGAAAGTAAGACTTTTAAGACTTCTTGTCCAAAACATGCGATAGATATTTGTGTGGCTATAAATCATCCATTAAGGATAAAATGAGAAGTTTCAAGTTAAATTGTTTCTAAGTATAGAAATGTATCATTCTTTTTTAAATAAAACCAAAAGAGAAAGTGCATCACATAAACTGGGAGACAAGGAGTACTTTTTAACTGTTTCTGTTAGCTAAAAAGTGTCAGTGATTTGTTTCAGATATTTTTAAAATAGATGCGGTTCCAGGGAAGACATACTTGTTAAGGTTAATCAATGCAGCTTTGAACCAGGAGCATTTCTTTGCCATTGCAAATCACAGATTGACAATTGTTGAAGTTGATGCAGAGTACACAAAGCCATTGACCACAGACCGAGTCATGCTCGGGCCGGGGCAAACCCTAAACGTCTTAGTCACAGCAGATAAACCTATAGCAAGATATTCAATGGCCATGGGACCTTATCAATCTGCTAAGAATGTCTCATTTCAAAACATAACAGCAATAGCTTACTTCCAGTATTTTGGTGCCACAGCAAATGGCTTAAGTTTACCTGCAGCTTTACCACATTTTGATGATAATCTTGCCGCTAAGACAGTCATGGACGGGCTTAGAAGTCTTAATCCTGTTACTGTTCCTAAAGATATTGACAGAAACCTATTCGTTACAATTGGACTAAACGTGCAAAAATGTCGGTCCAAGAATCCCCAAAAAGATTGTCAAGCTAAAGGTGGTGGAGTCATGGCTGCTTCCATGAATAACATCAGCTTTAGTAAACCTAACATCTCAATTTTGGAAGCGTACTACAAGAACATCAGTGGGTACTTCACTCAAGATTTTCCTGGGGTACCCCTGAAGTTCTATGATTTTGTGAATGGGGCACCTAATAACCCTCCTAATGACACAAATTCACTGAATGGAACTAGGACCTATGTCCTTGACTATGGGACCAAGGTTCAACTGATCCTACAGGACACCAGCACCGTCTCCACGGAGAACCACCCTATTCATCTTCATGGCTACAGCTTTTATGTTGTGGGTTATGGTACCGGAAACTATGATCCAGATACAGCCAACTTCAATCTGGTGGATCCACCATATATGAACACAATTGGAGTTCCAGTAGGTGGATGGGCTGCCATTCGATTCATTGCTGACAATCCAGGTAATAAATTAGAAACTAAATTTCATCTCATAATTATGACAGTCCGTTGTACTAAACTCACGGATGGACCATTTTCATGCACAGGGGCATGGTTTATGCACTGTCATTTGGAGATACATTTATCTTGGGGCTTATCGGTGGTGCTCATTGTGAAGAATGGGGAAGGGCCATTAGAAAGACTTCCTCATCCTCCAAAAGACTTGCCCAGATGCTAGATATATGTGATGTTTATTAGGGTGGAGGTTGATAACAACAAACCTGGAAAGTTTATATGTTTCCAATTGGAGATTCTTTGACCCACCAAGTGTGCAATAGCCGATACACTTATTTTATTTATTCAAAGAATTGGCAATTGTTGACATTTATAAGTTTGTGTAATAGAATCGGAACTGGTCTCTCATGCTCATTCGTTTGTCTTTTGCATCATGACAAAGCTTCCTTTAAACGGCACACAAACATATGCAGGTAGGTAGGGGTTTGGATATAGGAAATTGAAACCACAAACAGAAACTGAAGCATTAGAGGTTAGGTAGAGGTACCTTAGTACGCATGTGCTTCAAACTCAGCTGATTTCTTTCATCAGGAACTGTGAAATCTAACAAATCCAATTTTAATTCACAATAGAAATAATTATAGATCATACTCTTAACAACTCAACAAAGACCCCTCAGTACAAGGATAGAAGTGTCTATAAACTTGATCAACTCCATAACTTGCAAGGCTAGCTCAACCAACTCTCAATCACACAGTCTTGGCAGAAAATTAAACTAACCGAAAAACAATAGAAATAGGCCCTTTCATCTAGCATGCCCTTCCTTGGGGATGCTTGTTGCTCAAATGAGTATTCCACAATCTCATTAAACAAAGTAACAGCCCTTTTTCAGCCTCTGATTGGAATAATTTGAAATACTCATTCGGGCAAGAAGCTTTGCAAGGAAGGCTGACCTACTTCATGAGGTGTCTCAGAAGCAATATCATGGTTCAAAACATAGATCATCATAGCACAGATCAGAAGTAGAGCGCACTATGAGAAGAATAGCAGAGGTCTTTGGTAGCCAGGTATGTAAAACCATGACTAATATAACATATAGAGTTCTCCTATCTCTCATAATTCTGACATCATTATGTAATGGAGCATATGAAACATTTTAGTTTATTCAGTCAAAGAGAACAATGTTCCTTCCAAAATTATCTTAATAATACTAAAAAGATTCATTTCAGTGCATATACCAATAGTCTATTGGTGTAATCTGTGAGATGACAAATTGAATATCATGGGTTGACTTTATTTTGTGTCCAGAAGTTCTCACCATTGACACTTCGTGCAGTAGTAAATGCTAGCCTCTCATTACTCTTCAAGTTCAGATAATCAACCTGTAAGTAACACAAATAGAGGAAAGTTACAGATGTACCTTCTTCGTGAGAGTTACATGACCAGGGAAAAACTCAGACCTGCTCAGGGTCCAGAAGTAGAAGGCAGAATGCATCGACTGGACCAGCAGACGAATCTAGTGAATCGTGCGATGGTTGTTCATCTAGAGAAGGAAGCCCTGGAGTAGGCCCCAAATATTGTAGTCTTGATCTCACAGAACCAGCAAACCAAGCTGCCTCTCTTTGCTGAATATCATCAGAATATGCAGAAGAAAATATATTATTTACCAAGAGAAAAAAAAATTGAGGCAGTAAGTTTAATTACTGCATCAAGTTGATGAAGTAGATCTCTATTTAATAGAGATTAACAGTTCAACACTTCACATAGTCACATATTGTGATAAAGAATATCAATATCTTACATAATTCAAGGTACCTAGAGCAGAAGTATGCAAGCAATATAATTTTGTTGAAAGAACCACCACTGTTTCACTATGAAATATTTGCAAAAAATGCTCTTAAGTACACTACAATCAGAAATGCATGGTATTGAAACACAGAAAAGTGCTGAATACAGAAAGTTTCTGAATGAATTGTTGCTTTGCAGCTGGAGTTTTTAACACATCTTAAAATAAACGAGTGACACTTAATTCTAGATAGAGGCATATGCTCTGAAACTGGAGCTGATTACAAGTCTTAGATATATTACTAATAGAACAAAATAAACTCACAAATTATCACATGTATAGGTAAAAAAACATGAAATAGTAAAGATTCTTCCGGAATTACCTTAAGTTTATCTGGGTCAGAGTTTGATGCATCAATCAAATCGACTCTTCCATGAATTCTGAATTGTTCCCAAGTTTCAGTGAAATACCAGCACACCTGAATCATTACCAGATTTGTTCAAACAGCATTGGATTAATTACAGAATGCTTCACATTTTGCAAAAAGTCGGACGGGAAGCAACTCTATTGTGCATTTACACATTAAGCACTAAGGCCCAATCCAGAAGCCATGAAAAAGAAATGAGACAAATCATTTATATTCTCTCTAGCAATAATGAATTAACAAAGTATCAAATACCTCTGCAAATGGGCAATGCTTAAGATCTTCAATCTGCACTGATTCAAGTAAACCGTCATCAGTTCTAAGCACAATACACAACTTAAATGGCAACAACAACAACAACATGTCCAACGTAATCCCACTAGAAGAGCCTAAAAAGAGTTGTGTGACATAGCCTTACCCCTACCTTGTGAAGATAGAGAGACTATTTCTAATAGACCCTCGGCTCAAGTAAAGCATATCAAAGTAAAGTATGTAAAGAAAATAAAGTAGTGAAGAAGTCATAATACTCAAAACAAAATAAAAAAATATGATAACCAACGCAGAGGAAACAATAATTAATAATAGAATCGGAGAACAAGATATTAGGAGAGTGAGTAATAATAACAATACTCATAAAGGATCACAACTTGAATTCCCTTCGTGAAAATTCTAGCTCCACCACTACTACCATCATACTAGAAATTCTAAATATTTTAAGATATGAATTATTTTCTTCTTTTCTTTTTTAGATGTTTTTTACTCCCTTGATGACTCGAAAGGAGGGTGTTTAACATCCAAGCAACTCCTATGAATTCTTGAAAGTTGCAGAACTTTATTAAAACAAAAGGGTATCAACAATTTTTAACAAAAAGCAGTCAATTTCCAAAATTACAGACCTTGCAGCTTCGTGAGTCAGTATTAATTTGAATCTTATCAGTACCATCTTGAAACCCTCTACGAAAAAAAAAAAAGAAGATAAATTACACACAATGAAAATGAAGAAAACAGTGAATTTAACATATAAGTTTAAGGGGTAAAATGAGACCTGAAGACGACAGTTCGATTAGAGGGTCTTCCATTGGATCCAACAGTTGCCTAATGCAAGAAGAAAAAGTAAATCATAAAAAACTAATTCAGCAACAAAAATTAGAATGAAGAGGAAGAAATGCAGGAATTTGTACGAGCTGAAAATAGGTTGAATGCTTAAGATGGGAATTGGAGTTGATGGAGTTGAGAAGAAGCTGCTTCCATGGAGCTGAGCTACACATTTTCGGCAATTTTCCCAAATTATTGGAACAATTTTTGCCGGTAAGAAGCAAATACAGAAACTAACTCCATATAAATAGTTCCAATTTCACTCTACCAATCAAGGTAAATTATCGATTAAAAAAAAAATCAAGGTAAATTATCGAGATGGGTTTTTCTTTTGGGTAATATTACATGATTAAAATAAGTGATAAGTATTGAAAATATTCGTCTAACCAAATTATTAGTTTCTATTTAATTATTTGACAATTTTAAAAATACATATTTACTTAACTGATTGAATTTAAATACATCGATATGCTCCTGATATGTCATATGACATAGCAAGTGGTCTCAAACTCTCGTTAAAGTATGAGGTTCTTAATAAAAAATGAGAGAAGTGTTGATGAAAACATCCCAAAATTTGATGAGAATTTAGGGGTGTATTTCACTAATATTGCAAGATCGGGAGTGTATTTAGATTTAATTAGACAAGTATTTTTAAGACTGTCAATAATTTGAAATGAAACTAATAATTCACGTCAAGTATAGAAATGTTTTCGGAACTTCTCACTTAAAATAACTTTTGAATAGCACATGCATATGGTTAACTAAATTTTTTTAGTGGAAAAAGGTAAAAACTTATGTTTAAACAACTTTGACATGTGTTATACTTTTTAGAATTGTTTGGGAGAGGTACAAGTATACTAATCTCAAGATAAAATGTAGAATTATTTTATTTTATTTCATATTTGATTGGAAATATTAGATAGTCCTTAGATTATTTATCTCATAATTCATATACATAATCGAACAACTTATTCCAAAATTAATTATTTCAAAATGACTTATTTCTAACTTAATGACCCATCAATCTCATATTGACCACATCGTTGAAGAAATGGTTCATTGTTGTTCTTATCCCCTAACGGAGGTTCAACTTGATTATGTCCTTAAATGGCAAATTTTAGATTTCTTTTCTCGAGAAATATTACATATAAAATATACCCATTTTGCGATGGAGTTCCAATAATAGTAAAAGCAAATACGAGATGATTTACCAACGATAATGATATAAATGGATTAAAAATTAAATTAATGATAAAATTGAGTAACTTTCGATGATACAAATTTAAACATAGTGGATGATAGTGTAATTTGTTGCCTATTCAACTGATAATTGAGTTACTTTATTTTAAATTAAGCGCGATTAAAGTCTATTTTTAAAAATTATAGAATATTACTTTATCGATTATACAAACAACTCTTTATAAGGTAGAGGGGGAAATCATGAACAATTAAATAATTCAACCAACTTTTGTCCGGACATCCTAACTTGTAAGCAATTTAACACGGTAAGTAGAATGAATATTATCAAGTTCTACTTATCCATCATAATTGTTGTTAATAATTGAGTAACACATGCAATTTTGGCCTATAAGACAAACTTGTGATCAATTGAGCAATTTCACTATGTTTGACTTATATCTCAAACTCTTGTCCCATTAAAACACCGACTTTAGAAACAGAACACAAACCTATTTCCGTTATTCGGATTCGTATTGAGTGTAGCAAAATCAAGATTGATGATAAAGTCAATAAAGTTTTCATGGTGTTTTGATCTACCTTTGTAGTCTCGGTCCATAGTGAAAGGCTCTGCACCTGAGCCTCATTAGACTCGGGTGAAGTATGAGGCGTAAGTGAAGAAAATAAAAAATAAAAATGAAATCCATCCCTAGCCTAGTCTAACCTCAGTTTGGTTTCAGTATAGAGGCTCAGACAAAGGGGGAGGCTGATAATATAACTCGAGGAAAGCACACAACAAAATCAAGCAGGAATCATACAGATTTTCTGCACTACAATCTTCTGTGCCAAAACATAGATTCGGCGATTACATGAACGAGACACTCCCAAAATATAACATTTAGGCATAATACATAAACAAGCACTCAAACGTGTCCTTTGTTGGCAAGTAAACGCTTCAGCTTTGAGTATGCACATCTAGACGCCTCAACTTGTCACCACTGTGTCAATTGAGCACTCCAACTTACAAAATGATCATCTAGACATATCCAAAATTTATGTGTCATCTCAGCATCATCAGGTGTCCATGAGATATTGTGAGGGCGAGTTGGAGTGTTTAGTTATCAGTTAAAACCAAGATGAAGTGTCGAGATGTACACTCTCAAAAGCTAAAGTGCTTACTTACCGATTGAGGCTAAGTTATGAATGCATGCTTAAGTATTATGCCTAAAAGTTACTGTCAACTTAGAGTAGGATCATTACCTTTCACACATGGATAACCAAAGAGTAGTTTCTGGACAATATGTATGATACGTTAAGCAAACACAATAACTTCATCATAAATTGATACAACATCGAGAATACTCTCTGTGTAAGACACTGAGATTGATGTTACCTAGCAGTTCCCCGATTCAAAGACCTGTGTTCTACGATGACTCTTCCATGACTGTTTCCGTAGCCAAGCTTCTCTGCCAGGTTTTCAACTGCTACTTTGACAACATCACTTCGAACGCCAATGTCAGTTGCATATCTATTCATACAATACATACCTGCTGTTAGTGTGGCCACACCAACAGGACTAGGAATTAGCAACTTCAGAGGAGAAGAAAGAAGAGCAGCTAAAGGAGCACCAATGATAGAAGAAGCTTGTCCGCTACTTCCAACACCGCGTCTATCAGCTGTTAGAAGGCCTGTTTTGCAGTACAGCGCAAAGTCCTCACAATTGTTAAGGAACACATTATAGTGCCCGAATCCATTTTGAAGAAGATACATTGCTCGGTGTATGATCATCTCAGGAGGGTCTGATGCTGCAGTAGTGCAAGTGCCCCCTCGCACTCTGGTAAGGAAAACAGATGGGCTTACTCCATAATCAAAGTTGTAGAGTGAACCATCGCGGAGAAAGCAATCCAGACAAGAAAGAACAACACCACTGTTAGGTAGCTTAAATCCACAGTCGGGAAAGGTTGGACATGAAGAAGAAAGGTCTGACATTTCATCATCATCATCATCATCAGAAAAGGCCTGAAGACGGTTAAAATGGACCACTTTGCTTCCGCCAACAAAAATACCTATGAATACCATATTTTCAGAAGACTCAACACACAAAAAAACTGTACTTATTTGCAGGAAGAAAATTTGACCTTTCTATTCAACACTAATTTGAGAATCCTAATTCAAATAAATATAAAGAAAATGGACTTGCAGATCATAGTTGCAGCTGACTGCTATCGAAAATGTAATTTTCATTTTTTTTTTGTGTAGATTAGATGAAGGGGGAACAACCATTTTAGATCAACTAAGGAAACATAATAAAGAGTGTGTAAGATCTAAAAAAATCACACTTGAAAAAATATGGTTCAAGCTGAATAACATGATAACTAATGATATTCCAGAGTCATATTTTGCATGTAAGATAGATTTTATAGTAAGGTTCAGACGCGGTGCAGAACCAACTCTTAGACATTAAGTGCCTGCTTCATATTTTACATCATAGAAAAGCATAAAATAGAGGAATCATGAAAAAAAAAAATATATAAGAAAGTATGCATCTCGAGAGACCATCATATGTTCACACAAACAAAGCGACCATGTGATAGCCTGAGAAGCAGTTTTTTGGTTTGTTAGAGTTGAACAAGCACAAATAAGAAGCCGCGGTCGTTCAAATTTCAGCAATAAAACATCCATAATAGACCACAACATGTCAAACATATAACGCAAAAACTCCAGGAGACCACCTCTAGCCTATCAATCAATTAATCTGCCCTTAAATCCACTAAAATTGCTAGCTTTACCATCAAGTCGTCATTTTGTGCAGTAAAGACTGAAGACCTGTATTGTTTCAATTGTACAATGCAAGATCCATAGAAGAAGGTTTCACGTGAATGTCATGAATCCTCACTTTGATCATACTGATATGCTACCAAGAAGCAGCATTTAATTTAGTCATAACATCCAGAAGGAGAGTAACAATCATTTTGCTAGGTTTTATTGTACCTTCTAAAAAGATAGAAGAGCGTATGTTACAGCAACAATACTTAAAATAATTCAACTATGTGGCTAAAGCATTTTTCTCTATTTATATTCAGATCAACAGCTCTCTTAGCTACAAAATGACAATTTAGTAGCCATAATGTAGAAATCAACATATCGTGACGTGCATACCTAACTTTCAACTAAATTTTCATGGAGGAGATAACCTTACAATCCAACAGAATCCAACTAACACCATTTCAAATTGCAGTATCGTTTAATCATATTAGCCAGGCAATAGGACACACAAGAATATTGATCCATCTTCTTTAGCACCTTTTTTATTATAATGATAGCATTTCACAAAGATTAAGTACTATTTGTAAGACTTAAAATAATTAAAATGTCTAGCACTGATTAAGCTAATATACTAAGACATCAGGGTGGATCTAATGACAGACTTTCCTAGATGGAAGGTTGAGGAACTATATTTCTGTGTTGTAACAGTTACTCTCGATTCTCATTTCATACTTGCTCTAGAATAGAAGAGAAGAAGAGAGAATCTAACTTTGGCAAATGTAAGGATATTGACACTTATTTCACACGACGACTTTCTAGAACTAAGTTGCACGGACTCTTCGCTTTCGATGCTGCACCCGTGTCGGATTCTTCAAACAAAAAAAAAAACATTACTTTGGAGAATCCGACACGCACCCATTGACATTTTTTGAAAAGTCTAAGCAACATAGTTCTAGAAATAGCTACACATAGACCCTAAATGGTTATAACACTCAAACCGTTCATCATTCAGAATTTCTCAGTTCATCTCGGATTGAGAATTTAAAAGCGCTAATAAAATTACTAAATTGGATATACTTGTTTTTGAAATCCGATGCACACATGATTTAAGCCAGACACACATCTCAATTCTGAACCTCCATATGTACAAGCAAGCTACTCAGGACTCGATCACGAAACTTGTCATTCGGATGCAGGCAATATCCATGTATTCAAAATTTCATGCAATCAATAGATACACATATCAACGGTTCATAATGAACCTCCATAGATACAAGTGACCCACTTCAATACTAACAACAACAACATACCCAATATAATCCCTCTAGAGAGGGTAAGATTTACAAGACCTTACCC